TGGAAAAATCCTTAGTTGCAGCCCTAGAAAATTTTAATCCACCCTGTTTGTTAATTATTCATATGACCTACTTATCCTGATAATGAAAACTCAAGGATTTTTCCTCATAGACTCCGTCTTATTTACTCAAGACATGTTCATGTTCATGTTTCAGTGGCTGAATTTTGTAGTTTTCAAGAATCTGAATGACTTGGAAACAGTTAAAATTACAGAATGATGACAATAATGAAATTACATTTTCTCACAGCTCTACAGCTCAACTCACATCTCTCATAAATTAAACATTAAACATTAGCGCACAGTTTTGTTTTGGGGGGGAAATGTAAAGACATTTTTGACTGATTAAAGTTTTGCCATAATGGCCATGTAATTCGTTACTTAACTGAAAATGTATTATGAAAGTAAAGAAAAATGCAATTTATGACCCACTAATAACAACAACACAATTATAGCAAAGTAATTTAAGGAAGTCTAATCCTTATCATGCAATTTTCCTTTCAACAGTTTCTTTTTTTTTTTTAGATAATTGTTTCCTCAAATACTCTGGTGAGATTAATTAACTGCTGCAACCTGTTGGCACAATTTCAATGTGAACACATATTTAAGTAACCAAACAGCTAATGCCGGTGAGAAAGCCTGGCCTTGTTCAAACCCACCTCGATCCCTGAAGAGTTGAGTTCAGAGCTGACTTTAATTTCTCACTTTTAGGAGATAAAAAGTTGAGACTAGCGGGAAGGTAAAGTGCAGGTTTTTACTGATATGATGTGAAAACAAGTCTCCTTTACTCGCCCACAGTCGGACCTAATGAGAGGCCATGAGAAACAGATGTGTCAAAAATCCTTTAAGGAAAAACTTGTTGCACAGAACCAGTGGTCGATTGATCTTTCTGCTGTAAAACGGCCTCATGCTGAACTGACAACGTGCTGCAGATAATTATGAAATGGATTGTGTTTGAAAACCCGCTGCAGCAGAATGTCATTTTCATCCATGAGACCTTTAAAAACAGACATTGAAATGATGGATTCGTGAAAAAATAATGGCAACGGTGGGAGCAGCGATGGAAAGAAGGGTGTAATGTTGCTAATCAGTCAGTCGGGGCAGAGGATTTCCCTCCATCTTGAACACATGGAAACCTGCAGCGTCGTCGTGTGTAAACAGCTGTGACCTGCTGCTTCTCAACGATTTCCAGGAGATATCAAAACTTTAGAGACCTGCCTGCTCCTGTAGTACAAGTCTGACTAATTGATCCATCAATTAGTGTTTTTTTTAATTTTTTTTGCAAAACACAAACAATTAATTATTTTAGTGGATTTAATGAACAGTGGAGGAGATGTAAAGAGAATATTAAAGTTGTGTTTTTCCACTGTGCTGATGATTATCTATGTTCTGCGTTTTATGTAGTGGTGTTCGGGGAGACTGCATGCGGATAAGAGTTTTGTTAAAAAGTAGGAACAAGCTGATTTTTCATCTTACAGAGTGGCTGACGGATTCAAAAAGCAGAAATCTTTTTTTTTTTTTTAAGCAGCTCTTTAGGACAAAAACAATCAAAGTTGATCTCTTGAAAGAGGAAGTGGAAAGAAACAAGGAAACAGCCTTTTGATGGCATTTTGTTTTTGGCGTTGACATTTTTCAGTTTGAGCTGGACCCAGGTGGGACGCAACGAGTTCTGAAATGTTCAAAGTTTTAAAATTTGTGGCATTTAAGGTTAAAAATAAAAAAGAAATGACTTTTGGTTGGTATTTTCCTGTACAAATCAATGACCAAAAATACTCTACAATACATTTTCTACCAAAAGGATAATGACATATTGTGAAAAAATAAGACCCTAAAATTGTTAAATCCCCATAAGTGGAGCATAATGAAACACATTAAAGGTCCCACATTGTATAAAGGTAGATTTCCATGCCTTCTTTGATTATAGATCAGGTCTAGGTTCTATATTAATACTGTGAAAGTATCAAAGCCTCAGGCCACAGAGAAATGCACACAGCCTGTATTCAGAAACTGAGCCTTAAAACCAGCCGTCAGGACTTCTGGAACTTTGTGATGTCACAACAAAGCAGTCACCAAGCCCCGCCCACCTGGACCCACCATCCAAACCTTGCAGGATTTGGTTTCTCTGAGTGTTTTTACCTGAAATCTGCTATATTTTTATTTGATCACTCAGAAAACAGAGAGCCAATCAGAAGAGAGGCTCAGAGCCTCCTCTGTTGTGATTGGCTCACTGACCTGTTGTTGCTAGAGCTCCAGAGAGAAGCCTGAGAGAGGAGATGTAAAACTACATTGGTACTACAGATGGTTTTTGGTTCTTAAAACCACAAATATATCTTCTTATGGATCAACACTTCAAATAAAACACAGGAAAAGTGTAAATTATGCAGCTTTAACTTGTTGTGATACAGGCAGCATCTCCACTTTGTGAGGCGTCACTGATTCATATAACAATTGTGAGGAAAATATTACACTTAACATCATGGACTTGATTGCTGTAGTTACAACTTGTCAGTGTAAAATTCAACATGCAAATGGGTGATGAGCTTATAAAGCAGGAGGCATTTTTACAGCTGAAACTACCAAACAGTAAATGGAGCAGTTAGACCAAACACCTAAAGGATTATCCACTGTTTTCCTGTTTGGGCACATGAATCAATAATTGAACACTAAAAAGGAAGAAAATTAGTATTTATAGTACAGATACTTAGCTTTAAGCTTAGTTTTTGAACTACTTTCTCACTTTGTAAATACATTTTTTTGCTCACACTATCAAGTTTTGAAAGCAGGACTTCACTGAGGATTTTACTACCATCTCCACCCCTGAATGTGACTTTAATTGTGGCTTTAAAGCAGCAACAGAACAGACCACTGCAGCTACAGCAGCGTTTATCAGGTGGTAGTTACACGCTACATTTCCTGAGTGATGCTGTCGCGGTCCCTCTTGCAGCGGCAGACCACTGAGGGCTCGGAGGAGCTCGGCCACCCAGGCGGCGAGCTGGCGAGCTGTTGATGAAGTGAGGGGTCATTGCAGGGCTAAGTGAGACCTCACAGTGGACAGGCAGGCCAGACCTCAGGCCACGGTGGCATATGGGTGTGAAGGAGGTGAGGAAGCTGAGGAGAGGTGGACGGGGGGGGGGGGGGGGGGCCAGCCAAGCTGTCCACTCCGCCTCTCATGAGACCCCCAGCTGTCACAACAGACACTTACCAGCCCTCACACTAAACACCCACCAGGGAAAGGGGGGGGGTAGGGGGTAGCATCCTTCCTCTTTCAAACAGAAGGATGGAAAAGAGGAAGGATGGAGGGAAAAGAGAGCGTAATCTCTTCTTCCTGCTGCTGTGATGTGTGAGGAATGCTGGGATCTGCCCCCGCCACCTCCTCGCCCCTGTCCTCAGCCACTTCTGAAGCCAGGCTGCAAACCTGCTAATTATAGCCGCTAAAGGATGAAGGTGTGACCTAAATAGTTATTTTAAGTCTGGAGCAGACTTGTGAGAACCACTGTGCAGAGAGAGCCGAGGCATTCGCAGCAGGACGGGGGTGGGGGGTGGGGGTTGGGGGCTGCAGAGCAGGCGAGCCGAGCTCAGACTGCAACACTGTTCAGATACTGTAAGACGACGACAGTTCAGAGTGAACTACAGCTTTGTCTCTATTGGACCATCTACCAAAGATGAAGGGACACAAAACTGTATTGGGAAACAATCCATGCTGGTTAGAAGATTAGATTATTTTAGATTATTTTACTGCAGAGAACTGGACGACCGCAAATCTAGGATTTCAGTGATGATGGAAAATCATAAATTTATAATTCTGGTTATTTATTCAGAAAAACTTTTTTTTTTTTTTTTTAGCTGTAGCTGCTTCGTTTCTCTGTATCACATCATCCATCAGAGTAAATGTAAGATAAAACATTAAAAGTTTTGAGACAATATAAAAGACTAAAACTTGCATTACTTACTCCACTACAAATTGTGACAGTGATAAATATTATAATCACTGACGACTGAGTAGGATGATAACGACTGGAAGCACTGCCGGTTTCATATTACGCTGCTGCTTTAATGTACTATGTACCCTATGTGGTAAACTTTAGCATATAACTAATATATTTATCTATGTTTTTTTATGTTTTCTTTGTATGTTCTGTGCATCTGATGTGTTTCATGCACCTGCAGCTGAAAGTTATACAGCAGTAATATCAGTCTCCTTTAAAAAACTTTTATCTGAATTAAAATAGGCGGCTGTACAAACTTCAACCGGTTTTGTATCTTCATGTTTTACAAGATACAACAAAATGTATGCAATTTTATGTGATATGTAAAAAGACTTTGTTGTTGCTTTTAAAACAAACAGGTTTTTTATACACAGCCATAAAACTAGAGTTTCTTGCTTCTAGGTACGGTTTACAATTTACAGAGAAATGACACTAATTCACAAACACAGGTTCTGAAATTTTCTGAATAAAGCTTATACATCCATAAACACAGCAGTGAGTTTTCTTCCATCATGACTACAAGTATTTCCTCTGCACGAACACTTCGCTCTTTAACAACACTCTCGCCAGTCTCTGACTGTTGAATACACGCTGCTTACACCGTTCCCCCGACCTAACACACTCTCCGCCTCCAGCGTTTCTTCTTTCCACACCTGAGAGCCCACTGACAGTGTCCCGGTACCACGCGTATCACTTAACCTCGTGTCAAAACACAGGTGTAATGTAAACCCAGGGAGCAGGCGAAGGTCCTGAGCTCATAAAAGACTGTGCGAGCTGGGAATAGCACCCTGCATGTAAGAGAGGCCCCTCGCCGAGAGCGTACAGCAGAGTACCGAGTTACTGCAGAGATGGGAGCTGGAAAACGGCCAGACACTGACACTGACAGAGGGGAAGACACACCTTCACCTCAGGGATCCACAGCACAACGAGGCAGAAATGTGACTCAGCGGTTATGAGAGACAGACAGTGACAGTTTAGGATAGAGGGTAAAAGAAAGAGGACAGTCGGTGCTCTTACCATGGCGTCCCGTATATCCGGAATCCCTTTATGGTGACGTCCGAGTCCTGCAGGTACACACAGTTTGTGAGGAGCGACTGGACATTGTCAAAGTCCTCTGGTTTGAGCTTGGAGACTGAGGGGAATCGGTAGTAATCCTGCTTGACCAGCTCAGCCATAAAGTCCTTATCAAAGGTCAGCTCGTGGTTCCCGGCGATCACCACTTTAAATTCATATGGAAGGCCACCTAGAAGAGACAAGAGAGACCGGGGAGAGGAGAAGGTGGTGAGCTGAAGGTCAGAATCCACATCCACATGTTGAGCTTTGCAGAACTTTCTTCTCACACTCAATAGGGTTCTCGTCGGCCAAGGATTTCTTCCTCTGACCTAAGCTGAAACAAACCCATTTGATAAAGAATACCTGGAAGATCCAGTATGTAGCTGCTAATGTCAGTTTTGTGCACAAGCCAACTGAACTGAACTGAACTGAACTGACCGGTTACATGATACAAGTGTGGACAGTTTTTGAGCAGGAATATCCACCATGAATTTAGTCTTTTTCATAATTAATCAGCTGCTGATACTGTTAAAACAGTTAAAACTCTAAGATCAACTCAAACTTTTTACATCGAAGCTAAATTTTTATGAACGTGATGACGCCTGCATCGTCACACGACGACCAATAAGCTGTGTTTTCCTGTTGCTGCAATCTGTGAAGATAGTTTCTTCTATCAGAGGTGGACATAACAAGTTTATTAAAAATTAAGAGGTTTGATCAATATATTATCCACCACCAGTTTTTGCACAGATCCTGTCCAAAAAAAATTTTAATATCCTGTGTCCTAGCTCCATGTTAGGGTTGCATAATGCGCTGTGTTTTATTATCACTGTAATAAAAGTCAAAGTAATATGAAATTATAGGAAATATAAGCATCAAGTGAATTCATACTGAGAACTATTTCAATCGTTCATTCAACTGAAAAATTAGCAATTAACGATTCTCTTAACCCAGAAGTGACTCAGCATTCCTGAGAAATTGAGACTTAATGAGGCAGATGAACAAAGTTTGACTTGTACATTTTTCTGAATCTGTATTTTTTCATATTTGGCCGAACGTGGTCAAATCAGTAAAGCATATTACTGAGAGTACATGGACTCTACAGAATGTGTTTCTAAAGTTGTTAAATTAACCCCTTTTTTTTTTTTTTTTTTTTTACAAACATAAAATTCACGATTAATTTCATTAAACTGCAAATTATTCTTAACATGCAACAAATTCTTCACACTGCAGATTTTGTCCCATTTTGTGCAGCTCTGCTCTCCTTCAAGGCAGAGCTGTATTTTATAAAATCACAAATGTGTTGTACTTCCCACCTGGTCCGTGTATTTCTACAGAAACAGCATGTTGTCTTAATATTTTTGTATATGGAGCACAGATACCGTCAGACGCTCCCCTGTATATCTAACCCTGAGCACAGATCAGGACTGGAGAGAAAACTCCCGATAAGTGGAGGGGAAAAATACCCTCCATTCAGAGAGGTTACAACCACAGCTGACGGCTCTGCTTGACCCCAGCGGACCACCGTCCATCTCTGCAGACACCAGGCGGCTGGAAAAGGCATGAACCTGAACTAAATACAGAAGAACATCTATTACGTTTCTCATCCCCTCATCTTTCAACTTCTGCTGTGCCCTTTTCGCTCTCCTCAGTTCCCCTTCGCCATCAAGAAACTGCCTTACTACTTTATTCCAGCTGATTGAGCACTCAACGAAAGGGTCTGGCCTTCATCACCCTTCCACTCTCGCTCTCTATTTCTCCTTTTTCGTTTTTTTTTAGGCTTCCTGCTGATTTTGTTCCAGTCGTCCTTCGGTCCTTCCTGTCTTTTTCTCCAGCCTGCTCTGTAGATGCTGCACAAGCTAATCCACAGGCTAATTTTATGTGTAGAGTTAAGTTAACAATAGCAACAGGACGAGTGGGTGCTAAGGGTGCTGCTGCACCCCCAACCTAGGCAGTATAGTTTACATCCGGGCTGCAATTAAACATGTTTTCATTATCGCTTAATCAACCGATTATTTTCTCTATTAATCGTTTGGTCTCCAAAATGTCAGAAAACAGCAACAATTTCCAATAACAAAGTGCTGCCATCTAATATGGCTGTGGCTCAGGAGGTAGAGCGGGTCGTCCACTACATGGAAGGTCAGTGGTTCAATTCCCGGCTCCTCCAGACCACATTTCAAAGTGTCATCGGGCAGTATACTGAATTTCTGGTAGAGGAGTGAGCTGTGCGGATGGGTTGATGTGGTTTCCAATGTAAAGCGCCTCAAGTGGTCGATAAGTTTATTAATTACAATTTAATTGCTTGTTTAGTCTGATCAACAGTCCGACAAAACACAAAGATTTTTGTTCAGTGTCAAATAAAACAAAGAAAAGCAGCAAATCCTCACAAGAAAGAAGCTGAACCAGGAATGTGCCCAAAATACTCAAGTTCAAATGTTATCTTCCCTTCAGAGGCGTGGCATCGACAGCAACACTTCCGTGCTATGCTAATGAATCCATCCTGATTACTAAAGCACATTTGTTAACATATGGTCATATTGTTTGGCTGACATTCTGTAATACAGGGCTGTCAGGAGGATACTCAATATACTGCATGGACCCAATGTTGTTGCTGTTGCCATGTGTTTTTGTTTGCATTTTATGAACCGAACGCAGCTTCACAGACTGAAAACGCTCATGTTTGGATTGATCACAGTCAACAATCACCAACAGATGGAAGCCTGTGTGAATGTGAACCTTACTTAGTCTCTAAACACGAGTGGGAAACTTGCAAACCGTGATTTTACAGGACCCCCCCCCCCCCCGACATATTTATGGAGAGAAACTGTACAAAAAAGCACTGAATGGTATGAAACCCTCACACATACACTGCAGGATTACTGGACCGATTTACAATTGAGACGCCTACATCCACCTACAACACAGAGTTTGACTGGCAGGAAGGTATTCAGCTCACCAACATTAGCTGCTCCCATTGTTCGCGAGGTGCTTTTGTCCATTTGTTGCTCTGCTCCGTGTTGCTGTGGCCGGTAACAGCAGAAGGTTGTGGTAGAAGCCATGAAGGAAAATTGAATAAAATGTCGAATAAAGAATCCAATAAGACATTTCTTTTTCTTTTTTTTTTTTTAAATAAAAGATGCTTTCAGCTTGTGATAGACAGTGAAAGAAAATGTATAACTGCAGTGTTCACTTGTGAAGTCAAGTTCACAATTGGACATAAAACTAATAGAAAGTGAATACACGAGAATTGAGTCAAAAATGCACCGGCTCAATGCAGAGACATTAAAAATTTCACTGCATCCATCTCATCCAAGTGTGTGTGTGTGTGTGTGTGTGTGTGCGAGTGTGTGAGTGTGTGAGGGAGAAAGTGTGTGTTCTCTAATGCTGAAAATGAAAGAATCATGGTTGCCTGGTCTATAAGTTTCATTCCCGCTGCTCTAAATTAGCTCTTGTCGCGTCTCAGGATCATAAATTCCAGGCTAACCTTATATGAGAGCGCCGTCTCTCAGTCCCCCAGCACTCTAACTGGATCACGCATCCATTTACACACATACACACTCACACCAAAGCGAATCATCCTCTCCAACACCAGGCTGGGAAAAAGGTGGCGAAAACATAATTACCATCAAACAACTCCATCTCCATTACTCCATTGGGAATTTTTACTGCTTTTTATTGCCACCATGATACGTCCTACAGAGGCGTGGTGCAGCGATACACCTAGATTTATTTTGTATTCTCCCCCCCACAAAATGGGGATATGAAAGAGAGTAAGAGAATCAAAACAGAGCTCTGAAGAACGAGAACTGTGTGTGTGCAGAGAAATGTTTTGTCATACCTCTCAAGAATGCAGTTCTTACATTTGTCATCGGTTTAACGTAAAAATAAAACCCATCAGAAAAGGTGTTTTTCCACAACGCACCACTAAAAATACACTTGTTCCAACCAGGAGTTTAATAAAAATCATACTCTACATCATGATTTAAAGTGGTGAATATCTTAGATAATTAAATTGTCCCCCCCCCCCCATCTCCTCTCTTGTCTTCTCATATTAATCCTTGAGGAAATATGGTGGAGCTGAATCAACACGTTTTGTAATTAGTGCAGAAGCAGCGAATACGCACTGGTTCTATAAAACAAACCTTTACTCATCAATCAATATTTAGATATTTGGATGATGTTGAAAACACCTGGAGGTAAAAAAAAAAAAAATATGCACCTGACAAACTGTCAAATTCACAAAAAACAACATCTGCCAAGAAAAACTTAAAAACTTTTAAAGCCAAAATACAGTGGATTCAGAAAGTGTTCGAACCGTTTCAAACCATGTGCTAAAAGTATTCAGAGGCTTTATTCAGTGCTCAGTTGAAGCATCTTTGGCAGTGATGACAGCATCAAGTCTTCTTTGGTATAAGTTACAAGCTTTGAACATCTGGATTTGGGGATTTCCTTCCATTCTTCTCTGCAGATCGTCTCAGGATCTGTCAGGTTGGATGGAGACCGTCAGTGGACGGATATTTTCAGGTCTCTGCAGAGATGTTCGATTGGGTCGCACCAGAATTTTTTTCATTTATCGTTCCCCAGATCTGTGCATCGACACAATCCCGTCTCCGAGCTCTGCAGACCTTCCTCCTCATGGCTTGGTTTTTTGCTCAGATCTGCACTGTCGGCTGTGAGACCTTTGGCTGTGAACCACAGGTGGACTCCAATCAAGGTGTGGAAACATCTCAAAGATGATCCAGCGAAACGGGAGGGACCTGAGCTTAACTGTCATAAAGAGTTTAAATACTTTTGTCAAGGTGATATTTCAGTTTTTACTTTTTAATAAATTAGCACATTTCTTTTTTTGAATTTTAACTTTTAGTACTGTGTGTAAGGGTCAGGGGTTACTCGTGCTTTGTGATTGGTTGGACAATGTCTATTTCAAATGATTTACTCAAACTGGAAGAAAAAAAACCCCACACACAAACACGCGCCTCTGGGAGCATCTTAAAGCGGGAGATCAGAGTCGGCGCTCTGCCATCAGACAGGCTGGGTCAGGGAAAGCTCGTTCCTCAGCATCGATCTCCAATGATATCCTCCAGGAGACCAAACAGCAGTCAATGGCCCGGACAAACTGCTGCCTCCTCCAGAGTCTGAGAGGAGCAGACGGAGGAGGCAGAGGGGGAGGAGGGGCAGCAGAGGAGCACAAACACATAACTCAGTTTGAAAAACCTCTAAATCTTCCACACCCTCCTCCACCTGCCAAATTTTTTTTCCTTTTTTTTTTAAAATTCTGCCTGGGAATCCAATTTAAACATCTTCTACATTAAAAAAAAAAACACTTTCACTTCCTACATACATGAAACTGCTTTAGCGCAGTGATTACATTTTGCTATGTAACTATTGATTTCTGTGAAGGTTTGTCTTTGGAGCCATTGCTCGTCTTCTTTTTGCAAACCTGACACAGGTGAAACACACACTCGCTCAATAGGTCCAACCTTTACTTTTCAAGAGATGCGACGTGAAAATCGCTGCACGTTTATTTTTCAAAAATCCCCCTGGTTGTTTTTAACAGCCAATTCTCTGCATTCAATATTGAATCACTGAAAGATTGTAAAAATGCTGTTCTTTGGATGAAGGTCCAGTGACTGTTATCAACAGGAAATCGATGAATATTTCAGGTTGGACCAGATGCCGACCATAAAAATGACAACCAATGATGATGACAGAAAATATGCAGCTTCACAACTTCCAAATGGACATGACTAGAATACAATACGACTGGAAAAACCTATTTTTGTTTCGCCACAGTTGAATCCCGGCGTATTTCAAGTTCTGAGCATGTCTGAGCAGTCGGTCCCTGCAGTGCTACCCTCATCTGTCATCCAGAAAAGCATCAAATTATTTAACGAATGTGTCTTTAAAATGCAATTTCTCCTTATGACTTTCATCCCACTGCTGCTTCTCTGACTCTGACTCAGTCTCTTCCTCTCTCAGAGTCACTCCGCCTTCATCAAACAGGAGAAAAACCAGCCTTGGAGAGAATATCCAACCTTTCACATGCGTAAAGCTCACAGCAGCATCGTACAAGCCACAACACAAATAAGCTAAACTTCCTCAGCCTGCAGGCTGCCGAGAGCCGTCTGCCCTCCGAATGGCAGAAACAAAAAGATACAGACCAACAAAACGTCAGCAAAACGTTTTCACTGACTGAAAAACTTCTACACTTTACAACCTAAAACAATTACTGTTACTGGAAGCTTTGTGTAAACAAATGGTAGCTATAGAAATCTTTAGCTCACGTCTGTCCAAGTCGACTTACGATTAGTGCATTTATCCAGCCTAAGAACATGAACTGGATCATTATAAAGACTCTTTTAAAACCCGACTGATGATCATGATACGACTTCGCTCTAATAATGTTATCACTTTCACTCTGAAAGTACAGCTGTATTCTCAGTATTTATTATTACTGTTATTTAGATTTTTCTGAAAATATTACGACTACAAAACTATTTTCATATTTATTTTAGCCTTTTTCTTGCGAAATCACAACTGCATTCTAATAATAATAATAAAACTTAAAACTTTCCGGCCTCATCTGTCCTCTGAGTTTGAGGTCCAGGTGTGCAGATTCACACATGCATCCTTCACTGGGACAATAACCGTCATTTTCCACTTTGCTCTGCATTGATTTCCAATTATGGGTGATATCACTGTTTTCACCCTGGCTTCACAAAGAGCGTGCGAACGCACACATATATATATACATATACACACACACACGTGATGTGACTGTGATGTGTGGAGATGGGTGGAGGAGTTTGATAGAAAAGGTGAGCGGTGCGTCGCCCTGGTGACACCAGGTGCTGTACTGAGGGGGGGCTGGCGCAGTAGGACACAGAGGAGGGAGAACTGGGACATTGCCTGCATGTGTGTATGAGTGTTAACCCTTCGTATATGTGCGTGTCTCAGGACAATTAAGGGCACAGCACCTGGCAGTACCTCAGAGGGTCAGCCTGACAAAATGGGTCCACTACTGTGACTGCCGACTACAAATCACATTCACAACTCATAAAACTGAAGCCTAAGATTTTAAAGAGCGACTGTACCTTTAAAACGATGTCAGGAGAATGCTGAGTTTGTTGAATCCGTTTGTTAACAAAGCAAATAAAACCTTTATCGGTATGCCACTGTTTTTAAGACGTTAAAATCTTGATGTTTTCATTTTTGAAACAATAGTTGAAAAGATGGCGACTCACTTTCAGCGTTTTAAATCTCAGGCCTGTTTTGGTTTTCACGCCCTCCAGAGCGGATACATGTGAAAACGAAGGTTGCGGTTGTAGTAACCATCCACGTGAGGAGGAAGAGGAGGTTTAACCATTCCAGTGCAGACTGTACAACAAACCTAAAAACACTGATGTGAATGTGGTTCTCAAATTTGCGTCTGCGTTAGTTTGAACACAGCCTCAAGAAGCAGGAAGTGGTGAGTTTGACGGGGCTGTGCACAAAGATGAGGATGGCAGCTAGTTTTTGGCTAAATTCTGTACTGAACACGACTGAACGTACTGACGGACGGTTGAGAAGTGGATTGTGTTGGAGGAGTGGTTTGAGAAGTTTCTATAGACGCCTGGATCCTTTTCGTTTTTTCTTTTTTTCTTCCTCTTTGGCTGTGAAAACTGGGTCAGTGTTGGAAGCCACTGTAACTGCTGTGAATCCAGACTGACTGTAGCTGCTGCCGTCTTTGGAGAGGGAAAACTTTGACAGCCACCTTTCAACTTCACAGCGGGTGAGTGTTTGATACTCAAAACAGATTTTGAGAGGAGTGTCGCTTTAAGCTAAGAGGGTTTAAATTTTTTTTTTTTTATTAAAGCCCTGAAACATCCCCACAGTTTTCTGTTTGCCGCTCTGTTGTTGTAATTATTCACCATTTAGTCTGAGAAATAGAACTTGGTTTTCATCAGCGTTAAATGAGAAATATTTTCACTAGGAATAAATGCGTTCCTCCCAGCAGAGAAAGTATGTCAATGGTTGGGGACTGAACCAGGATTTTTAAGGTTAGCACTGCCACCAAGCTCAGATCTTCTATTCCCTCTATACTTTGTCGACATCAAACCACTTCCTGTTTCTTGTGGTCCTCCTTCACATCCTCTTTCCCACTTTTCATCCACTTTTTTTTTTTTTTTTTTTGTGAAAGCATGAAAAGGCGTAGTGAATTTTCCTGTCGTCCACCGCGGCGCGCTGCAGCCCATGTTTATTTGCAGCCAGTGAGAGACATTAGATGTGACTGGCTAGTATCAGTTTTTTGCAGAAAGTTTTGTTTTGAGTTTAAAGATTATAAACTCACACAGATGTTTCTGTGCTTTGAATAGCACCAACCAGGACGAATCTGCATCTTTGTGTTGACTTTGCAACACTTTAAATTTAATGAAAGCAGCACAATGTCGAAAAAGACTGAGCGCAAAGTAAATTTAGAGTCTTTTGTTTCACCTGCCGAGGACGACTCCTCAGGCAAAGACAAATGAATTAAACATAAACAGAGGAATTCAAATGTGTAAAAAAGTAGCACACTTTTGAGTGGGAGTGTCAGACAGTGTGTGTGTGTGTGTGTGTGTGTGAGAATGTGTGAAACATGACTACATTAGTGAGACTGAAACACTTCAGAGTTGCTGTGAGCTCTCGCCTGGAGGGTCCACAGATGAAACACTGGCTGCTGGGACTAAAGCCAAACACACACACACACACACACACACACACACACACACACACACACACACACATAAAAAAAAAAAACACACACACTCGCACACAGCCTAGAGCTCCCACCCACAGCATGGGGCCAGAAGGAGAGGTCAAAGGTTAACTGAACCAGGGTGTTAGGTCAGAAGGGTTAAACTGGACACTTCAGCACAGCAGTTGGGGTCAACAGGGAAAGACGAGGAGGGTGTGCGTGTGTGTGTGTGTGTGTGTGTGGGGGGGGTCATTGTGTGGTCCAGTTACGGGTTATGCATGCAACATGTCTCATGCCTCTGCCCCTTCCCCCTGCCCATAACGGACCATGAATGTTAGTGGCGTGCGAGTGTGAAAGCGCCGCGTGCGCTCAGCAGCGTGTGTTAAGCAGCTTAGTACCTAGCCAGTCGTTGAACTTCTTAACCTCGGAGGGCAGGCCCAGCTCGGTGAAGTCGCCCATGTGCAGCAGCACATCGCCGTAGGGCATCTGGATGCCGTCCGTACGCGAGTGTGTGTCGGAAACACACACGAACCTGGTGTGTCCCGCCGGCTTGGGAGTGTCATACGGAATGGGGTCCACCCTGAAAAGACAGAGAGAGAGAGAGAGAGAGAGAGAGAGAGAGAGAGAGAGAGAGAGAGAGAGAGAGATGTTTAGAGTCAGGCTGCATCATACGAGTATGGACTTCAGGTCTGGACTTGTGTGCTGATTGAACAGGATTCAGACTAATTATTGACAATGCAATACATTTTCTAAAATCATTTTTTGCCCTTTCTTGCCCTTTATTGAATGGAGAGAGAGTAGACACAGTAAGGAAATTCATCAACAAAGTCAGTTAGTAAAGGTGTTTACACTGAACTTGAGAAGTTGTTGAAATAGTTCATAAACAATTTCCATCCTTGAGCTTGTTTGCAACCATCCTATTATCTCTATTAAAAAAAAAGTGAGTCCTTGGGTCGACTCCTTGCTGGCTGGATTCTTTGCTGCAAGTCATTCCCTTATTCTTTGTCCCCACATTTCCTGTCCATCTTAAACCGTTCTAGCATAAAAATGCCCCCCCCCCCCAAAAAAAACGAACAAAACAAAAAGCAAAAACTGTCTGTAGCACCTTAAATGTGACGTTCTCTTCATCCCTGTGGTCGCCTCACTCTGCACAGCTTTATGCTATCAGTTTAAAAAGTGATTTCTGACCCATGAAATCAAATCAGTCATCAGTCAAGTGTGTTTGATTCCATGTTGTCAACAACAAAAAGACCAAACTCAACCAATCACACAAGGCTCGAAATCTTCCACTTATTCATGAGATGTCTGCCCTTGGTTTTATAAATTTGAACATCACTCTCTGTAAAAAAGAAAAGAAAAGAAAAGAGCTGCAATTCAAAGAACGTGCCCCTTTTTCCGCTTTGTTATATTCTAAAAGGTGTGCTCGATAAGAGCAGATGGAAGCATATTTTTAGGAAACATATGATAATTTCATACCAGATAGCAGAAGGGCGCACAGGCAAAAAACAGGAACCTTAAAAAGATCATTTGTTGTTCAAAATAAATTACACAGTGCAGAGAGTAATGCATGCAGCAGAGCAAAAATGCATCTCAAAATAAAGAGGGGACATCACAACAGTGAAAAATGTGTATTCTGGTCTGGAAAACAACCAGCGCTCGGGTTGATTTGTGCACACAAGGAGGGAAATGGCTGTTTTGTGGCATCAGATTGGCTAAAGAGACAGTGAATTAAGGCATGCCTTGTCCTCTCTATCCATTATCTAAAGAAAAAACACTTAGACCCAAGTCTGGCTGGAAAAAGCCTTTTATTCAGCGTTTTTGTTCAATGTAAGCGTGTAAAAAAGAAGAAAACCTGTACTTTTTTCAGACTGAAAGGAAAGAGGGAAAAAAAAATCATCTTGTCTGTAATTGAAGTCTACAATGTGCAATCCTCCAGCACTCTGCCACTAGACCATTATTTCATTAGAAGGGATGTCACTCTGTCGACAACATCAGACACATAATCAACGCTGCAATCTCCAACCTGACAAGCGCACACACACACACACACACACACACACATACACACACACACATACACACACGTACACACAGAGTTAACTCACATGTGTGCACAAACATGGCATGGAAACAGCCAGAGAAGCAGATGAAATCAAAAGGTTTCAGACTGACGAAGACGTTATTAACGGAGATGGAGAAAATAGGCACCTTTGCACAAAAGAAAATCTTACTGGGAGGGAGGCAACATTGCATTTGAGGGGGTCTCATTTGGGAAGCAATTTTCCTGTTTTCCCATTTCTGTGTCATGTTGACCAGAATATTAAACTTGGACAGTCTTCACAAAGAGCCCGGGATCTGTCGTTGTTCTGTTTGCGAGTTGTAAGGTCTGTCGTCTGCAAGGTCATGTTAATGGTAAAGACGGTGGGAAAGCTGGTCTCTGACTGCAGCCACCATCTCTAGTGTGCAGACTGAAGTCCACCCAGCATCTGTTGTCACTGTCTGATCAGAGGTCTGCAGTAGGGGGTGGTCAATAATGATAAAATCTTCAATTATGGTACATAATTGGGTGAAAAATTAAACGAACAAAATCTTGATCTACCACAGGACTCTCTGGCTCTCTGAACTACAGTTTTGATGATGGTGTTGGAGAGTACTGTCTAACACGTCAATCTTCCACAGGTGTTCAGCAAGGTTGAAATCTGGTGACTATGAAGTTCGTGCCACATTAATTTTCATAAAACCGTTGCATTTCTCCTCTCATTTGTTCCAGTTTCATCTTAATTTGCCCTCATCTGCATGTTGTGTTTAAAGGTCCCACATTGTATAAAGGTAGATGTCCATGTGTTGTTTGATTATAGATCAGGTCTAGGTTCTATATTAATACTGTGAAAGTGTCAGAGCCTCAGTCCACAGAGAAATGCATACAGCCTGTATTCAGAAACTGAGCCTTAAAACCAGCCGTCAGGACTTCTGCAACTTTATGATGTCACAACAAAGCAGTCACCGCTCTCAGCAATGCCCAAAGCCCCGCCCACCTGGACCCACCATCCAACCTCACAGTTTCTAGTTAGTGTTTCCTTCCAACCTTGCAGGATTTGGTTTCTTCTGATTGGCCGACTGTTTTCTGAGAAGAGAGGCTCAGAGCCTCCTCTCCTCTGATTGGCTCACCGACCTCTTGTTGCCAGAGCTCCAAAGAGAAGCCTGAGAGAGGAGATGTAAAACTACACTAAGATAGTTTTTGGTTCTTAAAACCACAAATATATCTTCTCATGGATCAACACTTCAAATAAAACACAGAAGTGTTAAATATAAAATCTTTAAAGTAAGATTTCTGTTTTTGACTAAACCAGTAAATGAAATAATGGATCATGGATCTTCAACATACTGCACAAATCCTGTAAATGTACACTGTCACACTCACTGATTAACATCATTGACCACAGAGGCCTTATACAACCAGAGATATTAGAGGGGTAAGAGAGTGTGTGTCAGTAGAAACAGCACAGCAAAATCATATCGATAAATTAGCGTTGTCTCACTGTGTGTCACACAACTCTTGTCTGTTGCCGCTGAAGTCTAACCAACATTTGTAGTCGCCATCTGTGATCAGTAGCCACTGTCTGCAGCCTGTAAAGCAGCTGCACACACGTTGCATCGCGAGATCCCCGGGGGTCTGTTGTTTCTGCCTCTGCAAGACGGGATGAATTTCGAAGCTGCGAGCAAGAAGAGGCTGCTCAAAAAAAGAAAAAAAAAAACCTGATTGACATACTTGGCTCAGGCTGCGTTCAGACAGACAACAACACGGTCTGAAAAAAAATCCAGCCCCCTCATCAAACTGAATGAGGTGACTCTGTTGGTTGCCTCTTAAATGTGCATATTTTCTGGTTTCCTGTAGTCTTCTATGACAGTAAACTGAATAACTTTGGGTATTGAACCGTTGGTCAAACACCAGATGTTGCTGGGAATTCGTGAGGGAAATTTTTAACCATTTTCTTGCTTTTTTTTTTTTTTTTTTAATAGACGAATGATAAAATCGGATTAATCGATGAAAATAATCCCTAGTTGTGATGAAATCTTAATTCAATTTTAGATAATTGCCATTGAGATCCGTTTTAAAAGCAATAAACACTTCAACACATTAACCACTGGTACCTGAAGCAACACACCTCCACAGCCCCTTGCATTATTGTTTTTATATGCAAGGCTTTTTTCAGGCTGTTTTCCTGAGCAAGCACAGAAGAAACACTGCAGAGCTGCAAAACTTTGATGACGCTCAAAACTAATGTTTTCAAACGCTGCATCAGTCAGTTTTGCCGTCTAACATTTTGTGATTTTGACTGTTTTTCTGACAGTAAACAGTCACTGTTAATGGACGCTGGCCATCACCGATCACATCAGCCTCCAAGCTTTCCGTGTCTGTGGCCTTCGTTCTTCATTTCATTATGAGAGAACTTATAATCTAGTCAGATAACCACGGCTTGTATTTTGTCGTTGTTGGTCCTGTCCCTCCTTTAAAGCTCTTTCACAGCTTCAGCTGAGAGATCTCGGCTCAGCTCTGAGACACTGGGGCAGAGCAGAGCTTCTCAGCTGCCCCCAGCAGGCCTGGCCTCCATATTAAACACAATGGACAAAATGAAAAACTAGCTACAGAGATAATAACATTTACTATTGACTGTGTGCAGTAAATAAGTCTCTGTGTGCGCCCGCCCACACACTCACTCTCTCTCTCTCTCTCTCTCTCTCTCTCTCTCTCTCTCTCTCTCTCTCTCTCTCTCTCTCTCTCTCTCTCTCTCTCTCTCTCTCTCTCTCTCTCTCTCTCTCTCTCTCTCTCTCTCTCTCTCTCTCTCTCTCTCTCTCTCTCTCTCTCTCTCTCTCTCTCTCTCTCTCTCTCTCTAACTTGAGCCAGCAGAGCAGCACATACATTGCAGTGTAGCTGCTGATTAGATCTGGTGCTCTGTGGTGCCTGGACGTCATGCAGCTTTACAGGATTCGACAGTTCTCGTCATGGAGGAAGGACGAACACAGAACCACATGGGACGACAACACACACACACACACACACACACACACACACACACACACACACACACACACACACACACACACACACACACACACACACACACACACACACACACACACACACACACATCTACATATATATGCATGCACACAAGCATGCATATTAAAACAAAGCCAAGAGAAAAACAACCTCCATCTCCACTCCTTTGAGATTTAATCCACCAAGAGAATGTAAGTAAATACCAGCAGCCCCTATCAATTAAAGCAGGCCCAGGCCAAGAAACCTTCATGATAGTGCTGCATTGGTGTCACACACACACCACAAAGAGAGAGAGGGCCCCTGTCTTTCCTGTTAACATACGACTGTATAAGAATCCAGAGGTTCATTAGTAATGTATACAGGAGTTCAGGAGTTCAGCAGTGCAGCAGAGGCCTCTGATCTATTGTAAACGGAGACAGTGAAAATGAAAAAGTCTTCCTGCGCTCCGGCTGCAGGTAAAAGAATATTCTCCAGTGACAGACTGAACTGTGTTAGCATGAAGGTTCGTGTTAACATGT